GTACTGCCTGCAGGCACCCACAAAGGCACTGAATCACAGGAACACACACATAGTTAGGGCAGACAGCTATAGCCACATAACAAAGCATTCACAATCATTTATTTAGCAATTTGGGCAAGGCTTGGCAAGGAGGAATCGACTCGGCTCCCCACACTGTCAGCTGGCGTGGCTCGGCTAAGGCAAGATGCTCACTCACATGGCTGGCAGTTGACATTGGCTGTTGGTTGGGACCTCAGCTGGTACTGTTGGCCAGGATGCTGACAAGAGGCCTCTCCCAGTAGCTGTTTGGCCTCCTCACAACTTGGTGGCTGATTTCCAAGAAAGAGCATCTCAAGAGAACCAAGCATTAAAGCACATCATATTTTTATGATCTAGCCTCAGAAGTCACATAGCACCATCTCTGCCATACTCTATTGGTTGAGGGAGTCACAAATGTCTCTCCACATTTCAGGAGAGGGAAAGAGAGCCCACTGCTCGATGGGAGGAGTGTCACCGTCATCTTGTAAAGAGGATGTGTGGGATGGGATATATCATGCCAGCCACCTCTGGAAAATACAGTTGGCCACAAACCCCATATCCGGGCACAAGCAATGACACTCATGCACACAGCTTACACATCCAGATTCGTAATACTCACATCACACAGTCATGTTTACATGGGTAGATAAATGAAAACATCCTACATTTACATATAACCCTGAAAACCAGAGATCCTAGGGTAACCAGACTGGTGACAGACGGAATATACCTAGATATCAGCTATCCCCTCATTCTGCTCCATTTCTCCAGCAAGAATCCAGACTGCAAAAGCATTAGGGTGCAATGCAGAATTTAGTGAAGTTATCACAAGGGTAATGCAGGAGAACTTTAATATCACACATCGTGCAGCAGACAACTTGACAACCTACCTGAGCAGTTCTTTCCCCTCAAGGCCCTGTATCAACGATGTCACCTCCATGGATCATTTTTTATCTTTTCTTTTCCTTGCACAGTACCCAGTCAGACAGTTCACATCTCCATTTCCTGGATTACCCCTCAAGCTTCCAGATTCCTAACCCCTTAATCATACAGACTGCTTCAGGTTTGCTCAGACCCATGGTAAAGGACTGATGTAAAGTCAGACGAGCAGGGACTGGAACCAGAACTGAGGTGGTCTAAAAACAGGCTATTCTCTCAACTCTCCTTCTCACGAACCACTTATTCTCCCACTCTTGATGTCTGCATCACACCA